CCCCGCCCCCCACCCCCGGCGCCGAGGTCCCGCCCCGCCCCTTGCTCGCGTTGACCCCTCCCACCACACCCTACCGCAGGCTCCTCCCAAGCTGGGAGGGCGCGGGAAAGAGACCTGTAGGGTAGCTTTCCGGGGGTGCCGCCCTGAGAGTTCTTAGGCCGACCACAGCCCTCCAAGCCTGGGCAGGCTTTGCATCTGAGACCCACCCGGCTTCATTAACGAGCGAGACCTGCTCGAGTGTCAGCTCAGAGGGGAAGCTCAAATCATTAGGACCTCAGGGTCTGCTTAAGAAAAGGGACTTGAACCAGGGAACCACCAGTCTTCAGTCCTTCATTCACCTCCAGCGTCCCCGATTGTTTACACATTAGGTTCCCCAGATGCACTTGGGTAGCATAGGGCTGGCAACGCTGTTGAAATATATAAAAATCAAGCAGTCACATTCCCTTATGTTTTCCATAAGGGAAACTTATGGAAATCTGAACACAGCCAATTAGGAGGACCTGATGAGTTACCTCTATTCAGCGTGTAGAGAGGCCTTCCAGCTTAGATCATGTGAGATATAGTGGAGTTCTAGTGGAGTTGTGTTTTATTTATTTATTTATTTATTTATTTATTTATTTATCTTTATTGAATGAAATTTCGCAGATAATCTTTCCCTTTACCGAAAATCCAGTCTACTGGAGACCACATCTGAGAGCTTTAACTGCCTGCCAGCAACTTCTACAACTTATTTATCTCAGACAGACTCTCTTTCTCTTGATTCATTTTTTTCTCCTGATTGTGGATCACATTTTCTTGCTTTTTGGCACATCCAGAAGTTTTTTTGACTGGATACATGAACATTGTAATCTGTACATTGTTCAATGTCTGTATTTTTTAGGAGGGAAAGAGAAAATAACTGGATAGGAAAATGCAATTTCTGATATATACATATACATTTTAAATTTTAGAGCTTATATTTAGGGACCTATTGCTTTCAGATCTAGAATAGAGGAGATAGAACTAGAAGGTAAAAATACAAAAGAAGAAAAAAGAAAACATAGCCCAGTATTTCTTGCTATTCCATGAAAAGAGAAATTCTTAGAGTTCATGAGGGTGTGTATGTGAGTGACTTTGAGGCTGAAAAAAAATGGCCTTTTAGCACTAAAGGCTATGTCTGGACTATAGCCTGGGCAGCTGGTTTTTCTACCTATGAGATAGTCACCCCACACAACTGAAGCCACTTAAAGATACCTTTGACAACATAAGCATTCCTTTTTCTTAGACCTCAGAGAGCACCAGTAGGCTTATGATAAAGAGAAACTTTTACTTGTGATAAGAATGGACCCTGGAGGCAGCATCAAATCTTCCATTATAATAATAATAATTATTATGAAACATAAACATGTATGATAGTGCGATATAATATTAACTAACGATTGTAATGATTTCAAAGTATGCCAATACTTTCGTGTACATGAATTCATATGGCTTTCACAGAGATTTTAAGATGGACATGTGGCCCTCACTCCTGCCTTTGGGGCAGTCAGTGAAAGGGAAGTCCGTATAGAATGAGACCCAGCTCACATGTTCCATGGGGGAGACAATGAGGGACAGGTGGCAGGGACAGCATTTCTCAGGAGCATTCATCTCTAATCCTTCCAGCACTACCAAAGCTTCCCCCTTTATAACTTCACAAGAGGGTCCTTTTGAGAAAAGTAGAAATGACTTAATGTGTTTACCGTTAACACTGGTTATTTCTGTGGTGTGAGATGGGAATAGTGGAGGGAAATACTCACTTTTTTACTTTACAAGACTTCGTATCAGTTGAAATTTTTGTGATGAGGTTGTCATAAAATATTTTTCATTAAAAAAACAAAACAGGCTCTGACTTCTGCTGCAGCCATGTTAGAGTAAAGGGGTTGGGTTTAACCTCCAAACTTAGATGAAAAATCCAGAAAAAAATTAAAAAGAAACAACGCGCAGGGGCATCTGGGTGGCTCAGTTGGTTAAGTGATGGGCTCCTGATTTAGGCTCAGGTCATGATCTCATGGCTCCAGAGCTCCAGCCCTGCGTCGGGCTCTGCACTGACAGCATGGAGCCTGCTTGGGATTCTCTCTCTCCCTCTCTCTGCCTCACCTCCCCCCAAATAAATAAATAAACTTAAAAAAAGAAACAATGTGCTTTGGACAGCGATAACAGGCAGTGCAGGACCCAGGACAAGGGACACTAAGGAAGTGATCCTTCTGACTGCCTTGGCTTCCTGCCCGGAGAGGGATTCCAGACTGCAGGGCTGGGAGGGGAACCCAAAGGGAGCCTGGAAATCTCTCCGAGCAGAGAAAGTGGCATTGAGAATTTAAAGGGGCCAGGTGGCTAGAATCCACGGGGCGGAGTACCAGAGGGGAGAGAGCTACAGGGTAAGAGATCTGGAGGTGTGCAGAAGGGTCTTCTGAGCCCTCACCCCAGAACGTGCATCCATCATATAGAAATGATTAATTACCTTACTTCTCATGCTTGTGAGGGTTAAGGGAAGCAAAGCATTTGAAGCACCTGGAACAATGGCAAAGGCATGGTATAGACTCTATAACTGTTGGCCAGCACTATTTTCTTTTAGTCCATTGGTCCATCGTATCATGAAGTTTTAGTTTGATTCTGTCATCCAATATACCTTTTTAAAAAAAGTTTATTCATTTTGAGAGAGCGAGAGCGAGAGCATGCACATGGGTGAGGGGAAGAAAGGGAATCCCAAGAAGGTTCTGTACTGCCAGCGTGGAACCCAATGCGGGGCTCGAACTCTTGATCATGACCTGAGCCAAAATCAAGAGTCAGATGCTTAACCTCCTGAGCCATCCAGGTGGCTCATCTAACATACTTTGTATCCCTTTTGGCTTTGTAGCACCTTAGAGGACAATTGTGTCTTCTGTCTTTATCTAAGAAATTGATTTAAAATATGGATTATGAGGGGTTCTTGGGTGGCTCCATCAAATGAGCATCAGACTTTTGATTTCAGCTCAGGTCATGATCTCAGGGTTATGGGATCAAGCCCTATGTAGGGCTCCACGATGAGTGTGAACCCTCCATTGACCCTTCCTCTGCCAGGAAGACTATGAGACATGGTTGGCTGCCACCATTGTGGCCGGCTCCACCATTTTTTACTCCTTATCTCTCACACACCCCTCCCTGGGCCTCACCTACCTCCCACCTCCCCTCAGCTCAGCTTGGACACTGACATTCACCAGTTGAACCCTGTCCCGTCCCTGTCCAGACATGTAGCCCTTGAACAGCAGGTTCAGGTGGCCAGAAAGAAGCTGGCTGAGTTCAACCCCAAGTGTCCATGGACTCCCAGCCCCCCTTTAAATCCTCACTGTTGAGATGTGGTTTCTAAAACTGGTCTTCTGCCTTCCTCCCTGCTCACCAATCCCCTTTGCTGCGGGGACTGCAGCCTAAACCCCAGCCTGCTTGGCTGAGGCAGGTGCGTCCTAAGGCGCCTTCCATCAGGGGTTAAAGCCAGACCCCTGTGCCTGCAGCCCAGTGCATGGCCTCCCCTACCCTGTGAAAAGCGATCATCTGGACCCACCATGATGCTGCCCCTGCCCATATCTAGGTATGTCCATTCCTTGTGTTCCTGCTGCCACCCTAGTACTCACTAGGTGAGCCTTAAGGCAGCAACCTAGTCTGACTCAAACCATAACTTGCCAAGCATGTTCACATTTCACCTCAGAGTCCAGCTTTAAAATAGAAATAAGCCTGAACCTTGTTAGCGGTGCCAGCCCTTTCCCACTGCCCCAAGACAGTAAGGCTTCATCAGGACTTAGAGGTGAGCCTGCCCAGGTCAAGGTTACTCTGCTATAGGAGGCCCTTACTTTTTTTTTTTTTCTTTTTCTGAGAAGGAGGGAGATTGAGGGAGCAAGTGAGCACAAGTGAGTGAGGGGCAGAGAGAGAGAGAATCCCATGAAGGGGAGAGAGAAGGAGAGAGAGAGTCACTTCACAGCCCCAGTGCAGCTCTTCCTGCCCTCGGGTCCTGTCCCCCATGCTTTAGTAAAATCACCTTTGTGCACCCAAGATGGTCTCTGAGAATTCTTCCTTGGCCATGGGCTCTACGCTCCACTCCCATCCCCCCAAAACCTCATCACATCTGCATCAAGTTTACAAAGCATCTTGACTTGGAAGGCGGGAGGACCTTCTCTCCAACATCTACAGAGATCACTCAGGGGAGTCCTTACTGCCCAACATGGCCTTATGCTTCCTGTGCCCTGAACACCTATGTGCTTCTCTCTGTGCACGTTCCAAGCTGCTGCTCAAGTCCTGTTCTTATTGCCAATTGGGTTTCCTGGGTCCCTGGAGTTGGACCTTTCTGGTTTTTACTGAGAGCGGCCAAAGCCACCTGTCTCCCTCCCCCAAGACCCATTCTCCTCTTCACCCCCATGGTCTTCGGGGCCTGGTTCCCACCACTCTTTCCCCTGGGCCCACCCTTTCTCCAGCTGAATGTCCGTCAGGATCAGGATTGTCCTGAGTCCTTGCCTCACGTCTTCCCTAGAGTTTGGCTCTGTTCTGACCACACTTTGGTGGCATTTACTTCTCCTCTAGAAGAGCCAAGGGTTCGAACCTGTTGCTGTCACTGTCACAATGAGGGGAAAGTGTCACCGTCACTCACTGCCCTCTGCTGGAGCCCCTCACCTCACACCAGGCCTGGGCTGAGAGGTGACAGTGAAGTCGCAGGAAAGACCTTACGAGTCTGTGCGAGAAAAGCACAGATGACAGCTGGGAGGGGAGTGCCACAGACTCAATGTTTGTGTCCCCCCCAAATTGACATGCTGAAATCCCAGCCCCAGTGTGATGGTATTGGAAGGTGGGGCCTTTGAGAAGACAGGCCACGAATGGGACCGGTGCCCTTATAAAAAAAACCTCGAGTTCCCCCGACCCTTCTACAGTGTGAGGGCACAGTGAGAAGACAGCTGTCAATGAGCCAGGTGGCAGGCCCTCACCAGACACCTGCCCAGGCCTTAGTCTTGGACTTCCTAGACTCCAGAACTGTGGGGGAAAAAATTCTGTTGTGTATAAGCCAGCCAGTCTGTGTTCCATCAGACTGAGACAGGGAAGAAGGGAATTATCAGAATTCTAGTCTCTGGGACGCCAGGTACCATCCTTCTCCTTCCCCTTCCCTTCTCCTCTTCCTCCTCCTCCTCCTCCTCCTTCCGTAAAATATTTATTTATTTATTTATTTATTTATTTATTTATTTA